CCCTACACAGTGTCATTACACGTGAAACATGCACAGCAACAGACCCACGCGCTGTTCTCACTTTTTTGTTGATTCCGTTATCTCACAAGCAGGCCAAGTTTCCAAGGAATTTAAATACATATCAGATTGCATTTCCAGAACAAATATTCCTCTCAATATATAAAGTGCTTCAGAGAGCGGCCGTTTGGTGAAGCCACGAATCTACCCAGGTGAAGGCTCGAAGCATTTTCAGCTTTTGCCAGTTTCCCTTGTAACTCCTCTCCACTAACCTTGTCTCTTCCAGCTACTGTATCGTCCTTGCAGAAGAAAAAACAGTAAGCAACAGTTTCTTTTGGAGGGGTATTTTTACCTTTATCATCTAAAAACTGTTTGGTTTATACATCCATCTTTAGAAATAATTTCAGGTCATTCAGGTCAGAGGAAATATTTTTACTGGATCTAGATTCAGTTAAATGCAGATCTTGTAAAATATGTTTAATTTTTCAACCTATGGTTTCAGGTTTGACACCCTGCCTCAGGAAGATAATCATGTTTCTCAGAAGTACTCTGCTGGGAATTCTTCTTTTCAGCATCCTCTGGACAGAAACTACTCTGGCTGGCTCTAGTTTTTTAAGCCCTGAATATAAAAGATTACAGGTAAAAAAATTCAGATACACTTTCTCAAGATTATCCTCCTCTATAAGCCCTTAAACCCTATATTCTAAAAGCTTCTCTGAATGCTGTAAAGAAGATAAGAGTTTCTGGAAGAGGAAGGAGTTATTCCAGACAACTTCTGTAACAAACCATTAGCATTGTATTCATGATATGAGAATATGCTCCTAATCTCATTCAGTAAGAATTAATAATCTGAAAAAAGAGAACAATTAATGAGAAACCATTCATTTAAATAATCTGATGTCATCTTTGGAAATTAATAGTAAGGTGTAAGGGTTCTTTAGTAGGTATTCGGTTTAAAGATTCATTAAAGTCAATGCAGCAATAGTATGTAGAGCTATAATAATCGTACTATCATACAGATTTATGTAAGTGTATGATGCCTTCAGCTAATTTGCTGCATCTGTGATAATTTTACATTCTAATTTCCCCATTACAGACTAGCTTGATTATGGAAAGAATATATAGATATTATTTTGCTTGCTTTCTAGCAACAAAAGGATCAAAAAAACCCAACAGCACAATTACATCGTCGGGATGCAGGTGAGGCAGGGGCAGATGATGACAAAAACAGTGTTGAAGTTAAGGTTTGTATTTATTCTTCTTGCTCATATACAAGTTTAAGGGGTGGGGTTGGGTAAGAAAATTTCTGTCACAAGAGGCAGTCCAAATTAAAACTATAGTCATATTTAACTTGAAACAGCAATAGGAAAGGGCACATGAAAACTGCCAGCATTGATGGTATGAAATGATTTAAAATTAGCTGCAGTAATTCAGATCATGATCTCCTATTTGGTTCACCTACTTTTCAGAACTAACATTTCATAACGTGAGTTTCTTCTAAGTTTTCTTTCCTCAGGGTTACTGTGCAGTTTGGTGTGCACTAACTGTACACCCTGTTTGATATTCTGATTACATATCTCAGCACTAATAAGTGAATAGATGGAATAACTTTTTATACCCCTTGCTTATCATCATTCCCATCAACAAAATGAACTTGCAGTGTCCTTGTCCAGAACTTGTCTGTAAAACTCTGTCCGTTAATGTTTTTGTAGTTTAATGTTCCCTTTGAAATCAGTGTCAAGATAACAGAAGAAGAGTATCAACAATATGGACAAGCACTGGAGAAGATGCTAGGGGACATGCTTGAAGAGAATGCTAAAGGTACTGCCAACCAAGCCATAAAAGCAGATTTATAAAAAACAAAGAACCAAACCCACACACAACCACAAAAAAAAAAAAAAAAGGCAAACCAAAAACCCCAGACAAACCAAGGCACCAAACAAAACCACCAACACCACAAACTGAACTATTTTTGTCTTCTAATTTGTCATGTGAGACATTCTTAGCAGCATTTTAGAAGTGACTGGGACCAAGTAACCACAGAAAGAGCCACTAAAGTATCAGATGTTCAGAAACTGCTAGTGGAACTTTAAGAAATCCCATTAAAGTATATGAGGCAGAAGGGGAAGGCTTCCTTTCCTTTTAAGCTACCAATCTTTATCCCCCCTTGCCCTCGAATCCCAGCATTTCCTTGTTTTCTCAGCTAAAACCTTCACAGTTGTCATGATGAAAAGTAGTCAACTCATTACTGTAACTAAGGCAGTGCCAGCAGATTCACTGGTAACTAAAATGACCAACTCCCACCACAGCTGCCTGGTTTTTACCCTCACAGCCCATCATACTTTATTTGCACTCACCCATGTTAAGCTGGTTTTTATGCATCTTCTGTTTTAATGTTTCTCTCAGTCTTAATATCCTCATTACACATCACTTCACACTTCTGCTTTCACCCTGCTTTTCAGCCTCCTAAGACTTCTCCCAAGTTCCTCCCTCGGTTTTCTTCTGAATTCCTTCTGAAGGGCTACTTCTATGGCCATTACACAAATAAGAGTCTTTATCAAATATAACTATGTGAAAGCCAACTTAGTCTCTGCCTTCGCTTGAGCACTTGTTGAACTTGCAAATGGGTTATCAAAACAGGATTTTCAGAAAGATATTAAGACTATCAAAATTTCTTTTGCCTTTTTAGGAACTCAGATGAAAAACCAAGGGAAGATGAAGGACAAAGACAGCACTGGATGGCCTGATTTGGTTTAAATTTTACTTTAAAATGAAATTTCACAACTCTAAAGAAGAAAGCAGGTGAACCTCAACAGTTTGCCCTGACAGACTTTGGAACGGGTTATCTTTTAAGGAAGAACATAACATCTAGAGCCAAAAATAATAAAGGGCAAGATTAATCACAGGCTGACATACAGGCTTATTTTCTTATTTTATTTCTTTTCCTTAGTAAAACCAGCGATTATTCTAAATTATGTGTTTGAAGGCTGTATGAATCCTTTCTGAAACTGCTGGAAACCTCTTCCTATATTTCTATATACATCTGCGATAGAGAATAAAGCTTATGCTGAAACTGCAGTTCCTTGTGGGGTTGTTTTTCGTTTATTTGTTTCAGAGTAACTCAAACGAGATAGCTTACGTAGTAAACCACACAGACTAGATGGACAAGGGCTCAACTTTCAGTTGCTAAATTAGCTTAATTGCCTAGGGTTTTGTTAATATGGATCTTATCAAGGCAACCATCTAATAGCTCTTCCAGTTAAAAATCAAATAAAACAAGAAAAAAGAAAATGAGTTTTCCAGTTAGCTCACTTGGATTCAGCACAACATCCCTACTGGTGCACACCTGAGAGGTACAAGGTAGTTTTCATGCCTTCAAATGTATGCACCAGTATGGTCCAATGCAGCACATGTTCCTTCCTGTACCATAGGGATATCTGATAACCCAGGAACATTTTCTAGATTTTCCTCCTGAATACATTCTACAAAGTACTCTTTCAACGGGCTATCACAATAAATGCAAGGACAACTTATTTTTATTTTTATTCTAAATGTTCTCTTTTCCTGTCACAGAATTAGTCACCTAAAAAAAAAAAGTGATCCCTTTGATGCCACTAGCACTGTCCTGTGCTATATTCTGCCAGAATCGAATGGGAACAAGAAGGTGGAAACAGATCAAAAAGGAGTGACTCTCCCATGTAAGAGTGTGGACACATACTTTCTGAAACCTGCAGAAGTGTTATGAAAGGGAAGAGTCAGAAAGAGCGCTTAAGTCACATTTATTACGCGGAACTCTAATCATCACTTCAACAGATCTACTGCTGGTGTTACTTTTATATTTAATGTTGAAGGAAACTGTCAGCCAGAAGTACTACATAATGCCGTTCTTATTTAAGCAGCACTGTAGTTAGGACTGCTGCTCCTAGAATTGACAGTTGTGCAGGACACTGTCTATTCACTGAGGGACAGGCTATTATGCTGTGTTGCTTATCCAGCTTGCTGAACAGAACATTCTAAGACTGTCTTAAAAACCCCAAACAAACAAACAAAAAAAAGGCTACACAAAACCCCCCAATAGTGTTTCCTGGTGATCTAGAGAAAAAACTTGGGACCTTTAAATTTGTGCAGAATTTTCTCCTTTGCAAATATGACATCAACCACGAGAGGGTAGTATAACTCAGTAGTGCACAATGATCAGAAAGACAAAACAGGTCTCAGGTGCTTTCTGACCTGCCTGGTAGAAACTGATGCTCCCTGTTTTCTTACAAGTATTCTGCTCGGAAAGAGCTTTTTGTACAGTCTCTCTTGCTTTGGAGGCAGAAGAATAAGTAAGTGAAGTGGCGAGTTCCACAGTAAGACACTGTAGCTGCCAGTAAAGCAGAAGAGCAAAGCACTGGACTAGCATGATTACAACTCGACTGCATCCACAGCTTCTCTGGACAACCTGCTGCTGTGTCTCACCACCCTCACCATAAAAAATATCTTGCTTTTATCTATTGTAAATCTACCCTCTTTCAGCTTAAAACCATTACTACTTGTGCTATCACCACACCCACAGACAGCAGTTGGCTCCTGCTTTCAACAGTTTAAAGTGTCTAATATATTAAAGGATCCTTGCGTACTGAGGCAGAAGTGATTTAGTTCAGAATTTCAGCAATATTTGTCCATTTGTCCATCTCTAGAATTCCCTTAAAAGTATGCCTACATCAATGCAAAACTCACTAAGTACCAACTGTTCACAAGACTTTTTAAAATTAAAACTTTATACCAAATCTGATTTGCTCTAGCATCTCTTTGCATTTGAGTTGCAAACAAAATAGAACAAAAGAACCAAAATTTCAATAAAACACTTCGAAGAACAGTCAGTTGCGTGATTATCAGAATTAGCTGATACACAGATATTTGGGTTCGCATTAGTGAACTACACTAATACCAACCACTGGAAAAAAGCCTACAATTTTTCTTTTTGCTCTTACCAACATACTTTAAAAAAAAAAAAAGGCAACTTCAACTTTCAGAGTGATTATACTGCTCAGGGAATGTGCATCTAGTACAATTTGCCCTGGTATAGAAAAATAAAATAACCCATGTTACTCCTACGATATCTGTTCTAGGATTTTTCCAAAACAACTATGCAATCTATTTAAAAATAATAGACCTCTACTTCTGACACAGTACAGATAACTTCCAAAGTACCATTCTTGTTATTTCTGAGCAATGCTATTGAGGTAAAAAAACATCTAACAGAGGCTGAATAATTACCTGGGTATTCCCTACAGCTGGTTGTCCTAAGCCAAATCCTGCATACAACGCATGCCAAGGAGGTGACCTAGCCAAGATGCAAGGAACTATTTAACAATAAAAAAATCCCAAATCAAAAGCCAAAGTAAAAGCATGGGTTGTGTCCTCTGCCAACCCAGATCCACCTTCTATCCACTTGCTAATAATGTTTCCAAGAAAGTCAAGAACTTCACCAAACTCATCTTTCTCCTCAGATTTCAGCAACCAAGTGGAATGGATTCCTGCAGGGTTGAAAAGCAAAACAACCCCTAAAAAATATTCCTTATGCACTAAGAGTATGACAGAGCATTCTTACATGACCTGGAGACATCCACAAATGGACACAAAATTTAATGTCATGATCAAATATTTATTTAGATGGGAGGCTGAGAACGGAGGATGAGAGGGAAGAGTGCGTTTCTGTGTTAGTCCCAAGTCATTCACCCAGACTTCCCTAACCAAAAGCTATTTTGGAATCAGTCACCATTCCAGTATTACACAAGTGCCTGCAATTAAGATTTTTTTCATGCTGCAGCTGAATATGCTTATGTCGTTGTGGATCCTTCTTACAAACCACATTAGAGATAATGAAATATATACATAGTTGCAGCCACCCCAGGACTCACTTTCAGCTGTAATACATCTCCACAAATTGAAGAGGATGCAGTATTTAGTTTTCCAAAACCCTTAAGTAAAAGTTGGCTTCTCCCACTAATTAAAGATGATTATTCAATTGTGAAAATAAAATAAGGTGACTAATTAAGCTATAATCAACCCAGTTCCTATGCAAAGAAAAAAGAAAAGTAACATCACATCAAAGAAGTAACCATCAAGAATCCCTCAAATAAGCAGCTAGTATTTTGTAATAACTGTTTAATTCTTTATAGATAAGGGAAGTAAAAAATATCCTTTCACTTCTATTGTAATAGTTCCCCAAACTAAAGAATACATGCTTTGCCTTTTTTTTTTTTTTTGGGGCAGGAGGTGGGTGTTTATTTGTTTTTGTTGCCCCTCCCCCACCTTTTCCTGTAGTGGTACATCACTAGATTAGGCTTTACAAAACCAATCTAAAGTAAGAAATAGACTAAAAACCTTTTGTTTTCTTCATTTAAAAGTTTTCAAAAAGATTCTAACCATTAAGATCCAAAAAATATTTCAACACATCCATTCAACAAAGACATACTTCACTTTTTTGTCTGGTTCATCTACAAACGCAGACTTTGGAGAGGCTTATTTAGTAGCTGCGCTTCAACAAGACAAGTCACAGGGTGTTCTTCAGAAGAACGCCTTGACGTCTACAGGTTCATTCACCTGTCTGAACACAGCTGCAATTGTTGGCCTTGAAGATTTGGAAGGACATTTCTAGGAGGAGCAACCTACTTTACAAGCCTCTCTTCCACACTGTCAACTATCAGCCTGAACTTCATCTGGTGGGGATACCTCCTTTCTGACCGTCCCCCCCTTCCACTGACTTTACAAACGCACTCTGAAGCACGCTGACACGTTACCGTGGACCGCTGATGTTTTCTTTTCTTCTTCCTGTGATCTCCAGTCTGTTGGTCTCTCAAGTCACACGTATTTTCTGTTCTTTGCACAGCATTTACTTCATCACACTCAGGTATACTTTCAAGCTAGAGAATAAATGAAAAAAAGTGTATTTGTTAGTAACAGGTTTAAGAAGTTATGAACAAATAGATAATAAGTGAATTAGGGGAGAAGAATGACCTAAAGGATGAGAACTCCCTCCCCCAAGAAAGGGAGAGCGCTATAAAACTCTGCAGCTAGCCAGTACGATAGCTGGAATTGGAGTAGTCCTATTCCCTACAGTTTTCCTCTCATCACACTTAGGCTTACAATAAAACACATCAGTATTTGTCTACCTGAGTGCAAGTATTAAATGACCATCAGACATCACAGGATACTAAATGAGGTTCCAACAACATTATCAAATTATAAGATTAAAAAAAGGATAGATAGTTAAAGACAATACAATTGGTTTTGACCAACACAAAACACAAACTCAATGTATGTCACAGTTTCATCACCTCACTTGTTAAGATGATGATCTGCCCTCTAGAAAGCCTGAGAGCCTACAGAAACCAAACAACTACAGCAAGTGAAACAAAAAAATGAAGTAGCTTAGCTCAACAAAGGAGTTTTACATCAGCTTTATAATTTAAGTGAAATACTTTCTCAATCCATTATGTTCATTCTTGCAGTTTGTTACAAGAAGAGGAAGTCAAGATTTGAAAGACTTCCACAAAGAAACATTACTTCATAACTAAAAATAGGGGTGACAGGAACAACTCTAGAACTTTCAAGTAAGTGAACAAAGAACGCTGAGTCATTAACTGGAGAAAAAGGAAATGAGAAAAACCTGAACAGGCTTGCTTTCAATAACAGAACTCAGGACTACGAAGTATTACCGGCAATAAAGGTTTTGCAGGACAGAATGATGGCAAACAATGGCACTACGT